CTTTTAACCGCAGAAGGCCAACGCGGCCACTAAAGGATCTATACACCAAAATTTTACATAACTTTTGTAGATCCTAGTTTACGTGGGAATCTCGATAACCTGTTTTCATCCAAAAGACCGCATTGCTTCCATCCGTTTCTGTCTCTCGCTAGTACCATGCATGAGTTGTAATATTGCTAGGGTGGCGACATTCACAAGGTCCTGATCCATAACCATTGCCTGCTAAGAATTTAGCTGATCAACCATTTGACAAATACGTCAGCCCATTTGCTCGTTTCCCTAGAGGGTGTTCTACTTGGAGGAATCTATTAGAGTGCTTAGTGTCCATCCGTTGTCTTTTTTTTTGATTATGAGCCCATCGGTGTTTTCCTTTGAAGACTTATTCTGAAAATATGAAAGCAGTGTCCTGTCTTCGCTGGGTGCATATATCATTTCATATCTGATCTGCAAAGTCCAACGAAACGTTGGATGCGTTGATTGGACTTAAAACCGTCGTTCTAGCGCCCTATGTGTTGCCACGAGAACTCTCCACGAACCCACAATGTCAGGCTACGTCTTTGCTGCTTAATAGAGCGCTGCCAATATCGAAACTAGGAAAGCTCTGAATCTGTTAATCAGTCTGTGGCTTCCTTTGGGGCTCATAAGCGGCTCAAACTACTCTTCGCCTCCTTTTAGTTCTTCTTTCAAATCGTTATCCGTATTCACGATAGGCTCGCGACACGCATAAGAAAATTTATGCGAGGAGTTCCTGATCCGCGCTATAGGCATTCTCTATGAATTCGCCTTCCTCCGGCTGATCGCAACATTATTTTCTTCCCTACTTCGTTCAGTTCTTTCAACATCGTCTCCGTTTAATGTTGTTCCTCGAAAAGTGAGCAATTCCGTTCCCAAAGAAAGTTAAAAGGAAGAGGATCCCCGTCCATATTTCTCCCTCGTTTTATTCCGATGACTTCATCACCCCCTACGCGGCAATAGAGCTGTACGGCGATACTGCCGCCTTGTTGGACTCTGCAGTTGGTATGCTAAAAAGGTGATGGAGGAGCCTTACCGTAGTAGAACAGTTCTTGTAGTGTTTGATGGATAACCTCACGTAAAACGAGCCCAGCCTTAATCGGCAAGCACTGACAGTGCACCCATAGCACTGATTATGGTGTTTATGTCAACACTATCAAACGCTCGTGATCGTTATGAGCTATTCTGAGCGAACCTCGATAGTCCTCGAGACTGTCTAGATGTAATTCGAGCATCTAAGACCCTTGCGGAACCTAGCTTGTTTCATAGGGCTTCATTTACTGTCCTTGACATGCAAGT